TTTGATGAAGAGATTTGCTTTTATTGTTTGGTAGGAAAAAAAAAAAAAGCACCTTTTAGAATAAGCCAGTAGGCTTGTAGGGAGATATTTTTTAATTCTACTCTTTTCTAATTTTGTCATTTTTACTTCAAAAAAATTCTACCATTACTGATAGAACTGTCAGAAACAGAACTCTAATAAGTTATTGTCTTAGCCACACACCTTGTACCTTTTTTCTAGTAAACTTCGAGAATGAGGATAATTTAAAAAATAGCTCTCCTACAAGATCAGAGAATTAAATATCTTTCAGATATATTCCAATTTTGCATCTTTGCCTTGACCTACATCAGTTTTACAGTTCCTCTCATTTCACATTACTATTGCAGCACTCGATTTTTCATTTCGTAAGTGGTTGGAGATAAGGGGGTTATTTTTATTTCTTTATTTGTTGTTTTGTTTTCAGTTATTGTCTACACCTTCTTCTCACATCAACCCATGACCATTCCTTGAATGTCAAGCGTATTTGTCCACAAATGATTTGTGTGTTTTATTTTGCAGATGGAAACTTTTTTACTTACACGAGACATGAGCCTGTTGGTGTATGTGGCCAAATCATTCCTGTAAGTTGGTCTCCTATATGATTTTCAAGCTTAAAAAAGAAAAAAAAGAAAAAGAACTCTAATTCTATTTCATTTGGTAAAGAAATTTTCTCCAGCACATAGGGATTCTTAGATATTTGCTAAATGTGGAACAAATGTAGTAACTGATGAGCTCAGGTCTCCCTGTGACTGAACTCTTCGGATATGAAGGAGGTGGTCCAGAAATATATCTATATTGTGGGGTATCACTTGAGTGTGTTTTGATATTACAGCATTGGCCTATCTTAGCCTTTCACTCTGTGATTTGTTTTTAAAAAACTGTGTTATATACTCTTTTTAAGACCCATGCTTCACACGTATGTAACAAAGCAGCTATTGTTGGCTTCTCTCTGTAGGATGCCATTTTAGCGAAGCAGTATGGCCTACTATTCTCCAACACAAATTATCTCCCCATTGAGACTTCTCATCATGGAGAAGAGTAGCAACCAGTGTTTGAGTCCTAAATGCATTTTTTAAATTAAAGTGGAAGAAACTGTTGGAGCACTGTATGGATTATCCTACCTTTAGCTGTATTTTTAAACAGAATCATGAAGATTTTCTTTTAAACCCAACAAATGGGAGACGATCTAAATGATTTCACCGACATATTCAGAGAAGCCAAATAAAAAGATGTTAAAGTATTCTGAAGCTTTCAGCTGGGAAAGCGTCAATGACTTATCTTCTGCTCCAATGAGATTGAAATGCATCCATAGCCACATTTTGAGTGAAATTGCTCATTAGTTCAAAACTCTCAATAAAACTAATAAAAATTACACAGTCTTGAATACTAGTAATAGCTAATATTTATTGCATGCCTATGATGAACCCATCACTCTATTAAGCCTTTGGCCCACTTTCCTGAAGAATCCTCATGATAACCTTTTGAAGTAGAGAGGATTTTTATCAGCATTTGCAGATGATGAAATCATGCATGGAGAGCATGTAACTTGTCTGAGCTCACTGGGCTGGTCAATGACTGAGCTGAGATTTGAACCAAGTTCTTAGCCACCAGACCCTAGACTTTTTGTCTTTAGCAAGATATTTGCCTTAGAAATAAACACTGCTACTACTACACACACACACACACACACACACACATACACACACACAGTTTTTATTATTGAAATATAGTTGACACACAATGTTATATTAGCTTCAGGTAATATTATTATTGGGTACATGGTTACAACAAATGATCTATAAGGAGGGAGGAATAATTACACTTTTCAAAGATGTGCAGATAACTTACAATATGTTTAACAGTCAGGCTTGATTTTTAAACCATGCAGTAATTTTTTTTTTCCTCCAGTAGATGAAGAACTCAAAATAACAGCACTTGATAAAATTTTTTGGCTTTCTTCCACTCCTGTCCCATATCTACTTTACTTGAAGCTTTCCAGCATTTATCAGTTGCTTTTAGCAATGAACTTAATTTGAAGACACCAGTTGATTACACAAAACTACCACAATTATTATTCCACATCTTTAGGTAGTGAATAATGTAGAAGTTAGATTAGCAAATGGGGCTTTCAGCAATACAAAGAATCTATTGTTCCCTGTTGCTTTCTAGTGGAATTTCCCGCTGGTCATGCTCATTTGGAAGATAGGGCCTGCCCTGAGCTGTGGAAATACCGTGGTTGTCAAACCTGCAGAGCAAACTCCTCTCACTGCCCTTCACGTGGCATCTTTAATCCAAGAGGTGAGTTCCCCAAATCAAAATATGTGTGAGAACTCAGGAACTCTCCTTTCCACTATGAAGGCCTCACTTGGTGCTACATAAACCACTTGCCAATGGCTCTGTCCAGATGAGGACACATTGAATATGGCCACCAGCTGAGATTTCCAACAGTCAGCCAAAATGAACTGCCCAAATGGAGACAAGAAGTCAGACTCAAAGGCTTCATGTCAAACAGTCACCTTATGATCACTTTTAGTTTGTTTCCTTAGCTTAACTCATGAATGCGAAGTCACGTTGAAATTGATGTATCTTTCTTTCAAATGTTGAAATGAATACTGGTTTCTAACTGGCACTAATGGCCTGGAGGTTCTGCAAATTTTTTTAAACTAATCCCTCCGAAGGTTGGGGCCTGTGTGCCAATATGCTTGCTTGTAATATTGGGCCACATAATTTTTTAACATATCTTTCCATGAGGGGACGTGTTTATATTCTGTTTTCTGTTGTGGTTTTCTCTGCATTTACCTTCTTGCTCAAAAACTGGCCAAAAAAAAAAAAAAAAAAAAACACATGAAATTTATTTTCATCAATTATCCAGGTTGGGTTACTGTCTTTTTTCTTGCAATGTCTTGCCCTTTGTCCTTCAGATCTTTCCAGAACTTAAAAACCAGGCTTTAGTTACTAGAAACTTAAATTTAAAAAATCTGAACCTAAATCTTAAAACTATTCTTCACTTCAAATTTTTTAAAAAAAGGGAGGGCAAAAGAAATGTCAAAATGGGGCATTTTGATGCCAAGAACATGAAATTTCAATGTGCCCATCTCAGGTACACACTGTTTTCTCCCTGATCATTCTTTAACCAGGAATGGAATCAAACTGTGAAGCTTAGTCATGCACGGGAGGATAGTTCTTATCTAATGTTTTACTGATTAAATATTGCCAGTAGGAATTTGCAACCCAGTTGGTATGGCCTAAACAATCAATAGCTAGAAACTGAAAATGCAAGATCCTTTTAGCTTCTTAGTTTTGCCAGTAGGATAATAATTGCATTGTTTTCCTTCTATGTGAGTGATTTCCCAAGCTCTTTTCCACACACTATCTTTCTGAGTTACTATTATGAAATCTGAGGCAGCCATCACTGGGGCAATGATCCAGAAAAGTCAAACATGGACTTCTGCCCCCAAGGAGAAACACTTCCCCAGTAATGTAATTCGGGAGGTTTTTTTAAGTGGGCTACAAAATGAAATAATAATAATAGCACTTAAATGAATCATTCTTGGTAGAGAAACTCATAAGCTCAGCATCGGGAGGCGGCTTTGATCCCAGACTCTCCTCTTTTTATCACAGAATTAAATTCTCAGTTCTGTCATAACCATTTTACTTTTTATCCTCAGGCAGGTTTCCCTCCCGGAGTAGTGAACATTGTCCCTGGTTACGGGCCTACTGCTGGGGCAGCCATTTCTTCCCACATGGATATAGACAAAGTGGCCTTCACAGGATCTACAGAGGTAACATTAATTAGTCAGGCCAGTAGTGCAGAAGGTCTGCATCTCCAGGTGTCAGAAGCATGTTTTGTGTCACTGTTTTTAGGCCGACATTTCTCTAAAACAAAAGTTCCTTTTAATGATTTGTTCCTTATTCTAACCTTCACACATGTTTATAGAACATAAGCAGATGTGTTTGAGATGAAGCTGGGTACCTGTCACACACGCGGCCTGCATGAAACTGTTTCTAGTGGGTTCATTACTTTCCCTGACAAGAAATAGAGCTGATGAGACCCTGTCGTATGATTAGTATGGTTTATGATAGAAAATCTAAATTAGGCCGCAGTGATTTGTATGAAGGGATGTAATCGTACCCTGTAGATTATGGAAATTAAAGAGCAGAGCATCACCTTTAGCTCCTTATTTGGGGCTCTCTCTTTCCTGATCACTCTGAAAGGGAGCCAGCGACTCAGCTTCCTGAGTGTTACTGCTGGCTTAGCTTAATTTTTATGCCCCTCCGGCTCCAGCTTGACTTTCCAGAAGGTTAAAGAGCAGGGTCTCAACCATGGGCACTGCAAGAAGAGGCAGGAGGGAGAGAAAGAGGGAACCGCCTGGAAAGTGGAGTTTGGGAGAATGGATTCCCATCTATTGAGATGAGTTTCTGTTGCAAGCAAAAAGAAAGTGGTAAAATCATACCGTATCAAGCAAAAAACAGTTCGAGTCCTCCTGTTGGATGATGTGACATTGTGAGATGTTCAGTGCAAACATCTTACCGGTATACAGTATAAAGGATGAAGAATGAAAAGAGCCCCTTCTTATAAAACTGCTGTTACACATAAGATACAAGACAGGATGTGATAAGATACTAAGAGCTCTATAAGGGCATTCACAGCAAGGAATGATGATGTCTACATAGGGGCGAGAACCTGCTCTGAATTTTGAAGAGCGGTTACTTTTTTAACTCCCCAGAGATTGAGAAGCAAGAAGAACATTCTAGATAACGAGGAGAAGCTAATTTGATTATTTTATATTCCAAATTAGCCACTCCAATATAAAGAAACATTTACATAGAGAACTAAAACGGTGGAAAATAAAATTTTATTTTTCTTGATCTTTTAAAAACTAGATAAATACAAAAATACTTTTTTATGTTTCCTAGACACAGAACAGAAAAGGTTTACATTCTACAAATGCTCATTGAGGTAGGGGAAAGCAAATCCTGCATTCAGGATTCTGTGGACAGAACAACTGGGAATGAGACATGGCAGTAAGTTAAAAAAAAAAAGGTGAAGTCACAGATCAAAATCATAGCAGAGGTAAAGGCAGGAAGGTACAAATTCCTCAGCCTAGCATTCTAAACCTCCATGCACATTTGCTGTTCTAGATTCCATGCCCACTCATTCCCCAGCTCATCTGATCCCATCTCTAGAATCCCTGCCTATTTGTCTTGGCCCATCCCTGGGCGCTTTGGAGCACTTTACTTGCTAAAAGTAGAAAAAACTCTGAGATTAAAAGACTGGGAAACATGTGGGTTCAAATTTTGACTCTACCCCTTTAAGCAGTGTGTCTTCCAAACATTAAGTATCATTGCTACATTGGTATTTCTCATTTTTATGTGAATAATAATAGCTACCTTATTGTACAAAATACAATTGAAGGAGCTAATGAGTAGTAAAATATCGAGCACCCCATAGGGTATTCAGATGTATCTTTTCATTCCTCCAGGCTTTTGCTCACTCATGGCCACACCTACTATAATATGGCTTCCACCACCTGCTGCCTCTTTGGCTTTCTCTGCAGTCCCAGGGGCATCCTGAGTTTTAAACCACCCCCCATGTGTGTTCCCCATTGTCCGTGATCTATAATTATGATAGCTCATGCCCATTGCTTTGTCATTTATCTCTCTCCTTTGCTGACCATCCTCAAAGACTGTCCTAGTCACTGTTATCTGCAAAAACCAGTATAGTAACTACTTCCGAGTAAGTATTAAATAACTAAATGTAACTAAGATGATTTTAGAGGCCACACAGAAAAACCAGTCTTTCTGGGCTCTCTTTTAGCTTCAGGTTTGTTGCTTGGCAGATAGTGGGAAACTTGCCAAGTGCCATGAAAGAGGCAAACCATGGATTATATCTTTTGTGGTCACAGTAGCAATGATCCTCTTTCTAAAAATGCTTCTGGCAAGGTAAGAATTTTAATGTCCCATTAGATTCATTTAAAACAGAATAAAACAAAACAAAACAAAAAACAGAATCCAATGCACATTGCGCAGGATGTGGTAAATTAGACCATTTTCACTTGCTACTTCTGTCTCACACGACAATGACACAACATTACGGGACATATTGCTTACCATAGTCTCGAAGGTTCTTCTCTTTCTTCATTGCAGACCTCTTTAGGAAAAATAATGAACCTTTACTTTTTTCCAAGTAAGGGAACAAAACCATGGAACAAAACTGATGTTTCCTTGTTTTGGCTTTAACTAGACCTTTGGGAAAACTCAAACCTTTTATTTGCCATCGAAACTTGTGCTAAACAAAAGTGTAACCTTTCTCCCTTACTCATACTTCTGGCCACTCTTCATTCTAGTTCTTCCGACATCTGTTGCTTTTAGAAAAATATCTCTGATCTCATTCCCTTCCCTGAGACACAAATTATCTAACAAAGTTTCTCCAGTAAATATTTCTAAGTTAAAAAAAAAAAAAAGATGAAGAAAGAATTTGGAGAATTCAAAGGAGGAAAAGGAAAGAATGTAGGAAATAAAAAATTCTTAATCATTGTAAATGAAAATTTAAAAAGAAGTATATTGTGGAAGGAAAATGGCATATAAGAAAAATTTCAGATAGGATTTCCCCACCGCAAGTCTATTCTCAGTTTCTTTTTATTAACCTATATTAAAGGATTTGATTTAGCACCTGACATCTTTAAATAAGATAAAAACATTGGCAGCTTAATTATTGCTCTGCTCTGTAAGGCATGGTAGCAGTCAGTTCAATAAGCACATAAAATTCAAACATATGCTCAGCAAGCACCTACTTATCTTTTGTTCAGTTGGGATAGAAACTTTTTATTAAAATCTGATGTGTCAAATAGGGAAAAAAAAAAAAAACAACCCAGAAGCAAGATAAAATGAATCATCTTTCAAAAAGAAAAGCAAAGATCATTTAGGACATTAGGACTTCAATAAAAATAGTAAAGAGGAAATAGTTATAAAGCAGGCCAGGTCTTAGAGATGGAAAAATAAAACAACTACAGAAAATAATCTTGATGGGATGGGAGCCACAAAGGAAAAAATGAAAACAATGTCTTTCTCTGAAGAGGGGCAACTAGCATTAAAGAAGAAGCCAGAACAGTAGGATTCCAGCTAACTGAAGCAACAGCACAGAGCACAGATCCAATTTCTTTTTTCTAGCTCCACAGTTCGAAGTTGTGGGGAGAGAGAGGAAGGGAGGAACGGAGGGAGGGAGGTGGGGGGAGAGAGAGAGAGACCTGGCAACCAACCGTAGTTCAACAAACCCCCACTGTGACAGAGAGTGCTGAGAAGTATGCAATGATAGGACTTTATCACTGCCACCAAGGGGGTGATATCTGCTTGGGAAATTGATGTGTTTACAAATAATACAATCCAAGGGAGACTCTGAAACAGTTCTTTTGAGGGTTCTATGGGGTGGGGGGGGTGGGAATAAGAGGAAGAAAAAGTCATGTCTGCCTAGAGTCAACAGAGCAAGCTTCAAAGAAGAGTTCAGGTATCAGCCGGACCTCAAGGAAGGCTGGGATTGGGGGCGGCCCGGGTCAGGGTGGGCATATAATGAGAAACAGAGATGAGGTTTAGGGGGCAATAAATATGCCAGCTTGGATAGAGTTCTCTGGATTTCAGTAGAGGGATGAAAAGTCAAGTAGATAAGTGATGGTTGGATCGTGATATGTCCAGTCCATAATAGAAAGATGAAGTTCTGATTGAAACGAAAAATACCTCCTGCCCAGTTCTGTCTGTCAAGATCAGCTGTCATCTTCTATGTATCTGTTCTCATGAGTGTTTTTCTGATTCATCATGTTTATGCTCGGGTGGAGGAGCCTTTGATATCTGAAGGCGCCAAATCTTGAGAAAAGCCATTTAATGTTTCTCCCTACTGGAATTTAACTATGGCACAAACCTCATATACATTTAAAATGCTAAATAAACCCGCGTTCAGGAGAGCAGATTCAGCCTCCTCCTCTGTAATGCTCCATTCCAGGTTGGCAAGATGATCAAAGAAGCTGCGGGGAAAAGCAATCTGAAGAGGGTGACCCTGGAGCTTGGTGGAAAGAGCCCCTGCATTGTGTTTGCTGATGCCGACTGTGAGTGAGGGCCACTCTTAACTTTTCACCCCTCATCGTGGTGTCTGGCAATGCCGGACGGTGACCTTGAAGTTTATAAAAGGGTTTGCTTCTAACATCAAAATGTAAGGCATTAACCAGAACCTAGAATGACTCTTGAAAAATCTCTCAAAATGTCCTAATGTGTCACACCTAGACGAGTCTAATGCAGACACTCTTTCTTCCTGGAGTGGAATAGATTGCCATTTTCGCAGCTGAACTCTAGGCAACCAACTGTCCTGCACTTGGGAGCCGTGGTGTATTTTTTTTTTTAATTCCATGCCTGTAAATATTAGCATTGGGTTAGGCATGGTGACATACCCCCAGTTATGTTGGACTGGGACCAACTGGAGAGATGGCAAATTTCACATTTGTCATTTCCCTTCGCTCTGGGTCATACACACATTGAATGAAAGGGTCAGAAGAGAATAACACTTAGCATTTAAGGAATTTCTCTCCCTTTTTTCCTAGCTCGTGTGGTCGAATTTACATATATTCCATCTATAATTATGATGTGACTCCCCTATACAGTATCCCTGGTTCATTCTGATTGTATCATCGAGTAGAATCCCACAATTCTATTCTAAGTGGGAGTCAGTCAGCAGAAATGGATTGTCAAGCATTCATCTAGCTCTTTCTTTTTTTTTTTTTTTTTTT